CGGCGAGCGCGCCGGGCGGGGCTGCGCGGACCGCGGTGTGGTCCTGCGGAGAGAACCGAAATTCCTTGCGCTGCGCTCGTTCTCTGTTTTATAAACTTTTATGGAGATCGTGCCTTGAAGGAGAATTGGGAAGGGCAGAGCTGCCCCTGCTCTTGCAGCGATGCGTTATTTTTACGGTCCTACTGACGCGAGGAATTAGCGTTTCTGAAAGCTGAGTGTAAAACGCCCCGTTCGTAAGTCTGGCTGCTTATTTCAGTTAAACACGGAACCTCCCTTTTAAAACATGGGGCTCAGGGCTGTTATCCTTACAGGATGAAAGTTACCGCCCTGGCAGCCTTTTCCTACGTTGCTTCTCACCACTGTGCTGGTGAGGTTAGTGAGGGGGACACACGGCTTTCACGTACTGTCTTTTGTTCATGCTCTGCCTGGAATTTCGTTTTCCCCTGATTTCTAAAGCGTGCGTGTGTTGATGAGCGTCAGTGAAGGGCATACGGGTGCCAGGCCCTTGTTGCTCGTTGTTGCAATGAGTGGGGGCTCTGGGTGCCTGTCCCCTGGAGCACTAACTCCATGCGACTTGGCAAGTCGCCATATCTTTCCTTCCAAGCAAGTTCCTTCTTCCTGACCCCTGCTTTTTGGGATTCCGTGCTTGCCTTTATTTCATACATGGCAGTTAGAGACTGCTGTTTCGGAAATGCAGGCACGTAGCAGTAAGTAGTTGCAAAAAAAAACCCAAACCAACAACCAACCAAATGAAAAAAATAAAACAACACTTAAAAAACTGCCCTAACCCTAACTCTGCTTAAGCAGAGGCAGATACTGAAGCAGTCAAGGTAGGAGTAGGCCTACTTTGTTACTTTTAGGGGCTTAAACCTAAAGTTTCTTGTAAAATTACAGTCATTTCTAGAAGGTGATACATGTAACAGCACTCTCGCTTCAGACTTCACACTTTGGAGGCTGTATATGCTTTTGTGAAGTGCTAAGGTTTGACAGGGCCTGAAAAAGACTGACGGGAGGGACCTGGCTGGACTTTTGCTTCTTACTGCACTCCATGGATGGAAATGCAGCTGTCCCAAGAAGTCCTTAACCGTTGTGAAATCTCGCTGTGAACCGAGTGTATGTTACATATAGTCAACAATTACGCTCGTCAAACTACAGTAACTAAGGGTTTGGGATTAAAGGCCTGCAGAGCTTTTCAGCTGGAGGCGGCTGTGGCTGCTCTGTCTGCTGGGAGTTTATTCCCCAGCTGGAGTACATCTTCCTGTGGCCCAACTGTCAGGATTGCCCAGCATCTGCTTGCGTCTTTAGCAATTTCTGATGCAATCAAAGGTGATGCATGTTTGCTAGTACTAAGAATAAATGCTCAGCAATTTTCTTAAAATATCAGTTTCTCACAAAAGAGAAATCACTTTGGTGGTTTTTTTTTTTTAAACTCTTTTCAATTGCATGTTCATTGTAATGTTTCTCTTGTTTCAATGTACAATTACTTCCACAGGCAGGAAAAGCATTTAGGAAATTTCTTCCCCTCTTTGATCGTGTTCTGGTTGAGCGATGTGCGGCTGAGACGGTAACCAAAGGAGGCATCATGATTCCAGAAAAAGCTCAAGGCAAAGTGCTACAAGCGACAGTAGTAGCAGTTGGA